GTTGGTGATCATATCTCTCCACAAGTTCCTATCCATTGTAGCCCTTAATATGTTTTGTCTTTTTGCTATCTCTTCCAAACCTTGCCCTATCATCCATTTACTAAAGCTCCTTTGCCTCTTGTCTTCTCCAAACCCTCGTCATTCATTTGCGTTTCCTAGAAATTTCAAATGTCTCCCTGATGTTAAATATAAGTTTCATTTTTGTTTCCCTTCTCTCTAAAATTTCTTCCGTCCAAGGCATTCTCAGTATCCTTCTGTAGAACCACATTTTCTGTTGTTTCAAGTCTTTTCTTCAGCTGTGAGAAAGTTGTCCATCATTCTCTGCCATATAGGAAGAACGGTATTACGTAACCGTTCTGTAATATTTTCTTTCTTTCTAAAGATTTTTCCTTTTTTTACTGTTCCTTAATACTTTACTTAGCTTTTGGAAGGCATCTTTCGCTGTCGTAATGTGCCTCTGGATTGAAGTATCGCACTTTCCGACCTCAGCAACCAAATTATTTTGTATACTTACATTAAAACTTTCTGCATTCCTTTCTATCTGTATTTAATTCTTTCTGCATTTCTTTCTTTCTTTCTTTCGTTCCAGGTAAAGCTCATTAACATGTTTTCTTAATCACCAATTCACGACGATTCAATTAGTCGACATTTTTGTCGAAATTTGGAAAATGGATTTTTTTTTCTCCAGAGAGCGATATTTTTTCGCATATTCTCTACATTTTTACGAATCTCTTTGATTCATTAAGATTGCTAAAAGAATAATTGAAATCTCTCTCTCTCTCGCCCTCTCTCTCACACACACACACACAGCTTGCTGAAAATTTCTTAGATATTGTGCGGACAAGGAAATTTCTAACACACACATATATATATATATATATATATATGAGGCACGGTGGAGGAATCGCAGAGCCGAGTTCGAATTCCAGTCGAATCCATTACATTCACTTACGTGCTAATACCCTTGGGAAAGGTATGAATCCTCTTCTTTTCCCCCCAGCTATGGGTAAAATAGCTGGACAGACTGGGTTCTATAGCCTTGGATGGCAACTGGTCTAAGAGAAGGACAACTCTGAATTCAAAACCTGCGGAGGGTCGTTTGGGATCCTTGTGGCACTCGGTGCACCAAGTCTCTGTATTCGTCCCTTCAAAGAGTGTGGATGGTCCTGCACGAGGCCTTCACCACTATAAATCAAATCTCATGTGCCGGTGTCAGGCTTTGGTTTCCGGAAACTGATCTGCTTGACCCTCATACGTCGAATCTCGAGAGAGTCGACTATATATATATATATATATATATATATATATATATATATATATATATATATATATTTTCATCCCAACAAGGCAGAAAGCCACTAGCACGCAAGGGGTTACAGAGAGTTGGAGCCAGAGCAAAGAGGAGTTATAGAGGAAAGGATGAAGAGAAGGATAGGGGATAGATCGAGGCATCTGGAGACGTCCATTGACATTTATTTGAGTAGTTAGATTCTAGCTATCAGGGGAAAAGGAAAAGGGGAAAGAGTTCCACATGCGAGAAGTACGAGACATGAAGCTATTGGAGTAGAAGAGATTTGGCTACATTTAACACTTTTCGACAGTGAAAGGGTGTGAGCTAGATGCCAGCAGAGTGAAAAGAACTTAAATTCATGAAGTCTGGGAACCAGCGAAAAAAGCAGTCATCGGAGCAGTTACCGTGAAAAGTATTTGTAAAAAAAAAAGACAGAGGGAGCTGACACGGCACGGTGTCTGTGAGAACGACTGCAATATATATATATATATATATATATATATATATATATATATATATATATATACAAATGAATAAAATAAAATTTGTCACGTAGGTGATGGGTCTTACATTCAGCATCCTGACTCGATAGCCTTGTAGACGGGCCCACCAGCACTCCTCCCGGCCTCTCGTCAGTGGATATCAGCAATCGATACTGAAAAGTTATCAGCCTGATCTAATTCACAATTGACCAAGCGACTGATGGTCCGATAAATATTAATCACGTTTTGGACGGACAAAGAACACACACACACATATATATATATATATATATATATATATATATATATATATATATATATATATATATATATATATATATATATATATATATATATATATATATATACTCATATATTTATACATATACATATTTGTGTAGCTCATACGTTTAAATGAATGGATGCATATATATAATATCAACATTGCCAAAAATTTTTTTTCCTAGATTCCAACAATGAAAAACAAAATAAACCTTTATTCCATTTGAACAATATTTTAATATCTCTTCGGAAAATGTGCGGGGTGGGGGGATTATTCTCATCTAGACAAATGTAAGCAAATATTAACACGTGCTCATCTTGATAGATGCACACACCCACGTACGCATGCGCACATACAGACTGATAAACCCAGGCAGAGAGCTCTTCTTTTTAAATCAACTAAATAAACTAAAAAAGTCACCTCCTTATGTGCACACGCACAGACACACACACACACATATATATATATATATATATATATATATATATATATATATTGTATGTAAATTATATGCTGCCTAATGTTTTATGTTTATAAAAACTATCGATCCATAGTACATAAAAATTCCTATAAAAAAAACTACTACTAAGACATTACACTATATTATTGAACTATATACTTAGTTCATGACATAAAAACTGAATACACTTGTAAAAATAGAATACGTGGATTTAACACATCACAAGAAATATTTAAATAAAATTCTCACTTAAAATTTTGAAAAACTTAGCGTTGCGTCTTTGCACGTTCCGAGATCTTACACAACCGTCAATAATAGCAGATATTCAAAAAATATCTTTAGGTCGACATACAAGTATATCGTCTCCAAGTTTTTGATTTTATAAGGAAAAACACATGCCTGATGATGAATAGAGGACTATTCGTAAGTACTAGCATTTTAACATCAAATAAACTGAAAACTACAGACATCAAGTTTATCGACGAGGATCAACTTGCACTATGGATTAACAGTATTTTAATGCATATATTATGCTTCTAGCGGTGGATGTCGCCAATAATCGCATTAATACTTCTGATTGATTCTATGTGGGATTATTTCTTTGTATATATATATATATAGAGAGAGAGAGAGAGAGACCCTGTGTTTCACTCTTTTGCGATCATCAGACAAAATGTTCTTTTTTCAAATTGGTTATATTTATGCTTGTTTGACGAGGTTTAGTGGTGGGAGGGGGATTTTCCTGCCGCGCTTATTCGGGATGACACTCTCACACACGTAGTCACACATACATACAGGTGTACACGTCTCTGTTCACACAAATGCAACCATATAAACAATTCAGTGTCAGGCGCAGATACACATCCATACACTCGGGCATACATACACACGAAATTTTAATTCTATTTCGCTGTCGGAAATATATATATATATATATCTTTAAGTATTATAGTGGACGCACGTGTTTAAGTGGACGTTCCTGTCTGCCGGCCTCTTTATTTGAGAATCTCAAAAAAACATCGACTGGGTTCGAGTCTGCTTGTTCTTATGAGGAAACTACCGTGGAACCCAAAACACACACACATACACACACACAAACACTTATATATATATATATATATATATATATATATGTACTAATATAATTAACTATACTCGTTTCGGAAAACCCTCGAATTTTTGATTTGCCAATAATCAAATCAATCTCGTGGAAAAAAAAAAAGGTTTTAAAAAAAGAAAGAGCTAGAAACATGAAAGTCTGTCTAAAAAATCGCACAGATACAGGTTTGAAGCCCAAAGAAAAAAACAACCGATACGAGTAAACAAATCAACTAACAAAAGAGCTCAATATAACCGTGAGAGCAGACCTAGATAAACCCTAGAGCCAGACAAACCTACCGGTTTCACCTAAGCGGATCGTCAGGAGCCAGCTTCCCGACGATCCGCTTAGGTGAAACCTTGGTAGGTTTGTCTGCCTCTCTTAGGTTTATATATATATATATATATATATATATATATATATATAAAGAAAGAACAGTAAGATATATATCATCAAATGTTCTTATAGATATTTTTATTTTTACAAAATAGTGCTCGATGTAAATTTACAGACCATTAATATTATAAATTAATTGATTTAAAATATGTTTGTTTTCGCTACACAGTTCTAACCATGTTTCAAATATGTTTCCATTTTTGAAACATGGTTAGAACTGTTTAGCGAAAAAAAAACATATTTTAAATAAATTAATTTATAACATATATATATATATATATATATATGGAATCAATAAACTTTTCATCCGACATTATTACCTACGACTCCAAAAGTTATCTTGTCGATACTCATGTTTGACTAGACGACCTGTTTTAAAATCAATGTCATTTACATCTAACAGCTTGCACCTACGTTAAACTTAATAAAGAGAATGAACTTCTTGATAGTCGGCTATAAATTAAAGTTATTATGGCTGTCTGCTTTTAATTTGTGCCTAATGATTTTCCCGTGCATGGAGGCCATCATTCGCTAGAACGCTGATGAAGAATCATATATTTATTTTTAGTATAAATATGGAACTTTGTCCATTTCATAATGTGTGACGTCATTTGTTTACATTTGATACGCCTTGAGCAGATATGAATGTACGTGAGAGATTCATGGATGATTGACGTTTAAAGACAGTAAAATCGACCTTGCTAACCGAACGATCCCCTGTGGCCGAATCGGTTAAAAGGCACGTCAGGCTATATGACGTTTCCGTATAAGATACAGGTTCGAATCCTGTTGGAGGACGAATATTTTCTATTTCTCGGACATTCCGATGTTGTTTAATACTGTTTATTATAAACAGAGCGTTTACTTAAATATTTGTATCTATAAAAGAATGTATAAACATAAAATGTCTTAAAATATATAATATATATATATATATGTGTGTGTGTCTGTGTTAGCCGTAATGGATAGCGGCTGGTTTTGAGTTCTAT